GGGAGGGGTGGATTGGAACATCTCTCATTTTTGAGTGGACAGAATGAAGACTCCTGTGATTCTCCTCATGGTGTTTATCCCTTCCCTTTACCCGTACATGACGCAGACCCCTCACTTCTTGTCATGACGGTGATCCTGCACAAAACCCTCAAAAACTACCTAAACCTGATAATAATGTTTCTTATATAAATTACGGGTTTCTGGCATGGTGATTCTATTAAATTAGAAAGTAGTCTTAGGATATAGTCACATAGTCATGGTAGGAGCTCTGGTGACTTGGGCTTCTTGCATCACATTCAGGGGCTTTGTGTTGCTCTTTAATTATGCTCTTCCATCTCTCTGGGATCTCCTAGCCCATTTTTGAGCTACTGGATCATTTCCTCACTTTAATTTAATTTTTAAATCTACTTCTAAAAATGTAGCGAAGTTTCTCCAAAAAGTACTTCAGGATGATGCAAGTAAAGGAGTATTTTTGAAGAGGGCTATGAGTAATGACTTTATTTTCATGCTTTATAAAGTTACTAATCTTTGATATAACAAACATAATTTATCACTGTTACTACTTTTATGTGATGTGGTTATTTAGTAGTAAATGTACATCTGGAACAGCTTGCACTCCTCTGGTTTCATGCCACATCTGCCTTTAAAATTATCTTTATTCTCAAAATGCGTGCATTTTTACAACACAGTCCAAATAATTTTCATAATTATATTCCTTAAAGAACTCAAGTCATACTCTGAAGGCTTTAATCCTCTGATTGAGAACATAAAGGCAGCATGTTCTGGCATATTTCCTTAGAGTTTGCATATTCGGTAAGGTATTTTTCACTTTATTGACTCATCGTTAGTCCTACATTGAAGAGAAGTCTGTGGATATTATTGAGCACTAGGACTAAACTCACATTTACAAAAAAAAAAATGAAATGTCAGCAAATTTTACACCAGTGCCATGCCACAGTTACTGTAGACTGGATCTGGGCCTGTTTTTTGACGTTCTGACATTCAACTATTAGATGATATGTGGTTTCCAAGCTCCAAAAGAACAGGTTCTGGCAGATTTGGCTTCTTATCTTCTGTCCTCTCTGAGCTGTGAAAGAGAGATTGCGGAGCTGCTTCCAAACACAACAGTGATTATTTGCCAAAAGGAATGCAGCACATAGAGAAATGCATTAAACAACAGAACCCTACTTTTGCTGTAATTAAGCAGAACTTTATTTCAGGTAGGTCCAGTGTATTTCAGATCATTTTTCAACTCCAAGAGCTTTGAGGGTGTCTGTTTACATCACATTAATCCTGCTCACAGTGAGACCAACGAGTTGCACTTTTAGGACGAGGAGTTAGCCTAATTTTTAAGCATCTGACATTTGTTAGCAGAACCTTTGTGTGTGCTAGCCTTAGGCTGCTGACAGTTTTTCTTTCTTTCTGTCTTTGCCAGATGGGCTGGCCAAGAGGAAAACTTAAGCATTACTGCATCTTACTAGACATCAGAGAGTCAGTGTGGAGTGACAGGTTGCAAATACCTCAAGCCAGGGTAAGCTTCAGTCAGAGCACAGACATCTGAAAGCTCAGCTGTAGGCAATGAAGCCCACAGAAATGGAGGCTCCTTCTTTTCTTCTCACAAATGGCTTGGAGTTTTGCCTTTTCTACCTTGGTCAGTCAGTAGATCTTACAGATTACCAGTCATATGGCAGAAAGCAGTTTATGCAGAGCACTTGTGAAAATAACAGTGCTATCCATTAGCGTGCTTGATTCTTCAGTGGTGGACAGTGGCACCTGGAAGATGGCAGCCTCGGTCATTCCTCTTTTAGGAGACATTCTACCATTTCAGATATCCACTGTGGGAACACATACAGTAGGAATTAGGGTTGTAACAGTTTTACTGATGGCATTGACTTCCTCTTGTTTGCTTGTTTTTAAGCTGAATTAACTTTTCATCTTTATGATTGCATTCAATTGAATACATTGATCTAAAAATGTTTTTGTTTATTTGTTTGTTGAGAAGATGTGAGTTTAAGCAGCAGTGAATGGTTACCTGCACTGACTGTAAAATACATGACTATGCATAAAGCCATAATGCAAATGGAGAATAAATGTGTCAGCACCAGGTTATATGTAAGATCATTCATTTATCCACCTCGGTATTCCCTTGAGTCCCATGGTCTAGTCGTAGGCATAAACTGTACCTTAAAGCTGTTTCCTACACAAATAATGTTTCATTGCTAATTGATGCATGGTGTTAATGTTATCACAGGGAGAATAACAGATACAACAGTTAAAGCTACATTCCGTGAAAATGTTTCAAAAATGAGATCTAAATTGGAAAATGCTGATGACTGAAATATTCTCAGGGAAGGGAGTCCTCTTCGTTAAACTATTCTGTGAGAGATAAAACTTGTTTCTCATCCAATAAATCAGATGTGGATTTGTTTGTACCGTAAAGCATTTCTTGTGATTGTCACATTTTCATATCCATCAAAATACAATTGAACCTACACCCTGCACTAAGGATTGGGGTGAGCCCAGAAATATGGCCCTCCCAGGACTGGTGATAAGATATCCAATTGTGTCAGACTTATTTCCAGAATTGGTCTGCGAACTTATACTCCTAAACTATTATTTACCTAAAAATTAAAAATTACTAATTATCTGAAAAAGCTACCATTTCTGTGTCTTTGCAGTATACCTGATGAATCTTTCAGTGAAAAGCAGTTCCTCTCTCTACACATGTATCTCTTTGCCCCAGTTAGAACTTCTGTTCTAATTCTGTATGGACTAACCCAGCCCCCGCTCTAAATTTCATCATTAGAAAGTATATTGACCAATACAAGGTCAAAGTAAAATCCATGGGAACATAGATTTGGTCTAGTCTATTCGATAGCTTTTTGAACATCCTTTTATTTTAAGGAGGGAATACATTCATAGTCATGTAGCGACTATTTTCATATGCTATGAGAATAAGCTTTGCTCACTGGAGCACAGCTCTTCATACCAGTGGAGACACCACTAACTGGAATCCTACAGTGAAACTTTTAGTCCTAACTGGTGTTTGTGTGAAGAGTGTAGTGATTTGGTGAAAAGTCTTGAGTGCTGAATTTGATGACTCTTGAGATCTTGAAGTGTGAGGAAAGATGATAACAGAACCTTTGTTTTTTCTTTAAGTGCAGTGCTTGCCACTCAAATGAAAGCATTTGACAGGGTACAGGAAAGACATAAAGAGAATTAAAATTGATAAGCCAAACAATTTGGCAAATGTCAGTTTATAACTTAACAGAAAATCAGTCTTTGGGTGCAAAGGGAGGTCTGTGCCTCTTCAACTAGAGTCCAGATTAGAGCTCAATGCTGCAAGGGTGTGGGGAACTTGAGGGTGCGTTCTTCATATCATGCTCAGGGATAACGTGCCCATCTTGACTTCTCTGTGTGGAGGACGAGCCAGCCTCCCCCTCCATCTGCTAGGGAGTCAAGGGGAGCACACTCATGATCCGGTCTCCATTGCTCCTCAGCATGATGTGGTATTTGGCCCTGACCATCCAGCAGGCCTATGTTGCAACATTTGTGGCATTTTGGTTGTTTTTTTCCTCCAGTGTTTGCTTTCACTATGAGACCTAAAAGATGACCTGTCATAATATTCTTCCATCCAAGTGGCTTTACTTTCTGGGAAGTTTATCAAAAAACCAAATTTTTACTGTGACATAAAATTATTTGCAGTGAAAACTATATCGTCTACATCCTGACATGACAGAGAAATGAGTTCATGTCCTCTCTTCTTTTCTTTTTTTAATAGCAAATGTGCTGTCATTCGTGCACAGTCAATGTTCGAATAGCTGAGTGGCTTACTAGAGGTGTTTTATTTTTGTAGCTACAATATCAACTGAGTTAATTATAAACGGGTTGGACTTCTTAACGTTCAACCTTTCCTGCATGAAACCTTTATTAGCACTTGTCAGTTTGGAGGCCTGGCAGTCCAGACAGTGACCTTTATTCTGCTGCTGGTTTAGGCAGGGTTTATCACTCTGACAGAACCTAATTAAAATAGAAAAAAAAAAGTCGGTGAGTGATGTCAGTGAGAAACAGAGAACCAGAATAAGAGCTTTCACTGGCCACAGTACATCTATAACTAGCTGCAGCTCTTCCTTTTTCTTCACTGATGGAGGGAATGCTAGTCTGCCAGCCATTATTCATTCCCAATAAGCAGGGATAATCTTTCTTAATCCCTTGGAGGGGTTTCTATGCAATATGTTCATTCTGAACTTTAAATCATTATTTACGTAGGGCCAGATTCTATCCTTCTTTCCCTGCCAAATAGTAGCTTCCTCTGTTAAAAATGCAATAGTGAGTTAGGACAAGAATGAAGAGAAGTAGGCTCTATGCTGGATCCTTAACCAATGAGTCCAACTATGTGAATTTTCACGTGCAGTTATTTATATTCATGAGCAATGATTTAAACTTTTAATTTTAGTGTCAAATCCTTCCACTTACCTAGTTGAACACAAAGGCCTGTGGTCCATTTTTTTGAAAACTGGAGAAGGAGAAAAGCCTGCAAACTATGCAGATTTTTTTAATGTCCTTTTTTCACAGGTTCAGCTCCTGCCATTGAAACTAAGAGCTTTATGGCCATTTTTGGTTTTTTTTCTGTTAATATACCAGAGTGGTGCTGGATTACTTGTTACTGATATACAGGAGCTACATTGTTGAAGATTCTTTCCAGTATAATAAGATAAATCTTTTTCACTTTGAATAAGCCTGTTAATTGAAGGAGAGTTATTTATTTAGGCAGCTGTGTTCTTCAATTTGACTAATTACATCCTATGCAAAGAATGTTTTGTCAAAAACCCTGACCCAGAGTCCATTAAGAGCTCAGAAATTTCTGAGATAATAGTGAGCTCTGGGAAACATGGGGAACTGAGGGGTTTTATCTTGGTGTTGGTTATTTAAATGCATTTTGAACAAGTAATCTTTTTCCTTGTTAATAATCTAACACTTTCATATGTTACTGATTTTAGTTGATGAAGGAGTTTCCTCTGCTCAGCATGTTCAACATCCATGAAAACCTGCTAGAGGCTTTGTTGGAACTGCAAGCTTATGCAGATGTCCAGGCAGTCTTAGCAAAGTATGATGGTAAGTTCTTATATGTTTCTATTTTATCTATATGGTACACATAGAAGCAATGTTTTTAAGTCAAACTCTTAAAATTTAGGAATCAATGTAATTAAGGCGTTTGGCACAAGCTTCATAGATGCACTTAGGCAGTCCTTAATCCAAAGATTAAACATTGAGCATTTTATCTGCCAGCCTACAGCCTGTTCCCTTGTGGACTTTTCTACGAACGTTGACTTAGTAGCATATAAGTGCTAAACTTTTGAGGAAAACATGGAAAGCTCAGAAGATAGGTGAACTTTTCATGTAATTTTTAGTATTTTTCAGTAAGCATTGGTTTATGCAGCATTCTATCACTTTTTATATTCAAATCACAGCTCCTGCTGACGTCAGCTCTAGCCCTTTGAACTTGAATTCAAGACACCGAGGTCTCAAACAGATAAAGGATAGAGTAAGAAGCCCCAGCTGGCATACTTTGGTTTAAGTTAGATGGGTTTTCCTTGTCCTGCGTAGAAGCTTTGTGACAGAAACAGGAATACAGTCCAGTTCTCTTGAGCAGCATTCATCAACCTGCACAGTGCCACTTTTTATCCTCATCCTGTAGCCCCTGGCTTACTCACTATCAGCATGCCAGGTTCTGCAACAAGTGAATCAGGAATCCTGCAGCCATCAGTTCCCTGATGTGTTACTACACAGTCCTTATTCATCCTCAGAGAAATCTCATTCTATGCACTGTAGTATGGCAAGGGAGTTTATGAAAGGCATGAATCAAATAGCTGAATTAAGTGAAACAGGAAGCCTTGATTTTGAGATTTCTTAACTCTATATTGATCTTGTAGCCTTTAAATGTTGTTAATTACTAGCTCTTACAGCCTTTCTGGTGTTTTTTGAACAGATATTTTAAAGCTTGTAACTTCTAGAGTTTTTGAAAAGGTAGGTGGATATCTTTTGAGGTACTGTTGTATAAATGTCTACTAGTATGGGCTCTGGAGCGTATATCCACGATGCTTTGGCCACTGTTTCTCTTGGATTCTTTGAAGGACTTAGCATCCTTTCCAGCCTGCACTTGTCGATCTTCTGTTCCATTTGTCTACTGAATTTTCTTCTACTGCCATTGTGCATGGTCACTTTCAGCTTCTTATTGCTCCCAGTTCCTACCAGAGGCTTCTTGTTCAGCTAGTACTGCTCAATTCCCATTCTTATGCCCTAACTACCTATCCCAATCTTCTCTTCAGGACAGTGATGGTCATGATATATCACCTCACCCACTTTCCAAGTCCTGTCTTACCAGACATCTTTTCCATCTTCTCCTTTCATTGTGGCTTCTACATCCTCTTCATTTGACATTCTCTGCTGCACAGCCTGGGTGCCAAAAAGCAAAACAGGAAGAGCCCACACAGACAGAGGCATCTCACTGTCAGCCCCAGTATTTGACCCCATGTTGTCATGTGGAACAGTCACAAAGTGTAAGTTTAAGGAGTACTGAGGCATATGTACTTGATAAGCAAAGAATCTTTGGAGGGTATAACCAAAAAAATTGCAGAAGCTTCCACTGAATATGTGCTGACTGCTTTCTTTTTATGTCTTATAACTTAGGAAATTAAGATAAATTTTAATGAGGCTGGCAATAGACCTTTGGCTTGATACTAACACAATCATCCTGCCAAAGTTCAGACCCCTGCAGTAGACTCTGACAGAGCTGAGGTTATTTAATGAAAGATAAATAAGCAGCTGATTACAGGCAACATTAAAGATAGTCACTGGTACCAGTCCAGCCTGGAATGTTTTCCACTCTTTCTGGAGTCAGATCATTCTAAGCAGAGATCACAGTGTCACCCAGACCCTTGAGTACTGCCATCCAGTAGCAGTAATGACTCTCAGAGAGGTCTTGGTTGTGCTTAGTCTGGTTGAAGAAATCTGCAGTTAAAGTATCAGAGTCTTTCTTGTAGCTCCTTTTATTTCAGTATTTCCTGGATTACACCAGTGTAGATCCCCATGGACTTCATTTTGGCATGTTAAGGAGCGTGTAAATAGAAATTACCATTTTTATGCCCCAGACACCACAGAACATTGGCGCCTTCTAGTCTTTAATGTAGTTATGAGATAATAATGACCCTGGGAGATAGCAGAACTGTGACAGAACAGAGAATTAAGCCATGCACTCCCAAATTCCAGACTAAACTCCTATGCCAGCTCTACTTCTGCACAGTGAAGCACTGATCCCTAGTTTTAAACAATACCATGATGGCACTTTGTGTCATGGAAGTTGATAAAGCTTGAAAGCATGTTTTGTTTTCTAAAAAACATCTCACAGAGTCAAAACTGAGGTCGTAAACATAAGAAGTGAGGCTTTTCAATGTAAAACTCTTCTTTGTCTGTTTGAACACATGCAGTTTGAACTCATGCTTTGCCATATATAAACAAAGGTGTGTATATAAACTAGGTATGCACAAGGACTCGGCAACCACAGGCTTAACCAGTATAACCCTTGCAGTTCATGAGTCTCTGAAGGCCCATCTCAGGGAGTCTCAGCTCATTTTAGAACTCATCAGTTTCATGTGTTGTAAGATTTATTGGAATATAAAGCAATGAACTCATTTATGCTTTCCTATCTGCAGTTTCTGTTGGTCCCACTCCACTGCCTTTTTTTGACTAAAAATAAAGGTGATTTATTGTATTTTGATAACATATGAACAAATAATTTCCTTGAGCAGTCTGCCCCCACCCTGGGCTAAAAAAATGGATCACATTATGTGCAACATCAGCCTCTGCAAGCAGGCACACTGCTTTACCAAAAGCCATGTGTTAAATTGTGTTTATATTATGTACCTGGCAACAGAGCTGATGTCCATACTCATTATTCATGGAAAAAGGGCCTCATTAGTGGGAAGGCATGCACTGTTGCTGAGCCACATCATTATAGTTTCAGAGTTCAGTGCCTGTCAATAGAGTGCAGATGACCTAAATACTGGTGAATTCTGAAAGGATATTTGGCTCTGATTTGACACATATCCGTGTTATTTACAGCAGAAATAGTTATGACTGCTAAAGAGACTCTTCTTGATGGAATAAGCTTCTGGTATTCTTAGTAGATAAAGTTTCTTTGCTCTTCTTTCCTTGCTTTTTAAACAGATTGTTTTCCGGTGGAGTAGGTCTGCTTGTGATGCTTAGAGCAAATGATAATTATGAACTTCCCTGGGCAGCCAGTTGCTGTGATTGTTGTTATCTGGTAACCTGGGCACTGTGTGAACACTCAGACCTTTCTGGCAATTGAAAGTCAAATTTAAAAAGAATGGATGCCTATTTATTTAGTCATAGTGATGCAGTGGTTCCTCCCTAAACCTGTCCTTGCTTTCCTTTTTTATAATGACCGAGTTTTCCAGTGAGACTATAAGCCTTCTGGTTTGCAGGAGGACCACCTTATACAGATTCCCCTTTTACTTACACATTTGTGAAGAAGGAGAAAGACCATTTCACATTGTAGACAGAGTCCCAACACTTGTGAAGATAATTTAGACCAAAGGATATATAGAAAGTGGTTTTTAAATACAAACGGCCTCATTCTGCTCTAGGGTATGACACTTCTTTATTTGATAATGCCTTGTTTCAAAAAATCCTACTTTAAGTTAGTGTCAGATCAAAATGCAAGCCTTTGAAGAAACATGTTAGAAACAGTCTTCTTTACCTTGGTATAATTTCGACTTAGTGAAATCCAAACAGTTAATGTAGAGAAATTAGTTCTCTAAATTGTAGCCTGTTCAGGGCTACTCTCCTTTCTTCAATCCCCTTCTATCCAATTTCTTCTTGTCCCTACAGTCTTAGGAAATGTGTAATTCTACTTACACTGAATTTGAATGCATTAGTTTTGTAGTGAGCTGCAGATTGATGAACCATTTGCATGGAGTCGTCAGTTATATTAGCTATGGTCTCCAGGGTTTTTGTATGTGTGTGTATATAGTTGAGATCACAGCTCACTCCATCAGTTTCATTACTTGCCATGATTATGTTTGGTAGTTTTGAGAAGATGCTCTACCTGAAGGAGCTAACTGGGTAGATGGTCTAAGTGCAAGAAAGGGTTTTCTTCTGAGTTAAAGATGTAGCAAGTGGCAGCATAGAAGCAACCATTACTTCATGCACAGTATTTTATAATACTTCTGTTTCTCTGAAAGAGAGACCTTAACAGAAGGTTCATTTTAGTAAAGGTCATACCAAAGCCTAGTCTACCTTCTCCAAGAGATGCAAAGCAGGTAAGACCTCCAGCTTGTGTACAGCAGTATCAAGAGAATAGCTTGTCTTTTTTCCCATTATATCTTTTTCAGCTTCTGCTTCTAAGAGCTAGATTCTTTCCTCCATGTCAAAATCACTTGTCACTGCCGCTAGGTCTCTGCATCAGTTCTGTGTCTGTTCGTACCATCTGGTCTCTTTTTTTGCAGTATGATTCTGTGGGCTTTTTTGTTTCTCCTGCTTGTGCAAAAGCACAAAAAGTCTAAACTAATTATACTAATCTTGCTCTTTCTAATCTCCTATAGAAGAAATTATTCCTTCTGCTTCATATACATTTAGGATTGAACTTCGTCACATCAAAGGGACTGACACCTGCCTGGTCACCGAGACATTCATCTCAGCAGGAGCTGGATATGAAGTGTTTACAACCAGCAGTGACCCTCAAAATCTTTCTGTAACTGAACAATTTAAGATTTAGTTGTGGTCATGGCAAAATAAGCACTTCTTGTTTGTGCTGAAATGTTTTTTCCCATCCTATCAGGGGACCAAAGTCCAGGCCTTAACATACGTAGTGGTGATGTGTTTGTGTTTGTTTGGGTGTTTCCCACCACTAAAGAAGAATGTCAGGGGTACAGAGAATAGAAACTGGTTTGTTTTGCAAGCACAAAGTGAGCGTTAGATCACTGTGTTCATAGTTTTGCTCCCTCCAGCATGTTTTCTACCACGTTTTGTGGAAAAATGCAATGACTGTTCTCATGGGAGATAATACCACAGGATATTAGATATTTTTGACAAAGTGTTTTTCCCCTGATGTTCAGTTCATACTTTCCTTTATTGAATTCTATCCCATTACTCTTGCCTTTAACCATTTGTATTGCTTTCTTCCTTAACATTTGTGTCTTTATAGATTACTGCATCTCTCTTCTGTCATCACTGATCCAGCCTGCACATACTTATTTGCCAGAGCTCTTTCAATCTTCCCCATAAGCAATTTTCTCTGTCACCTGTGCAAGAGCTGACATTCCAGCCTGCAGGTGCTGAGAATGGGAGGTGTCCTGTCCTGACAGGGCAAGTGTTGGCCCATCACTGAAACACCAGAGCCTACAGACAGACTGAGGGAGAAAATCAGAGCTAGGGTTCACCCCCAAGCCATAGCACAATATATGTCCTGTGTTCCTCCATTTTTTGTTTTACCTCTTCGCATAACTTCTTCCAGTTTGTTGATATACTTTCAGTTACATATTTGGAAATACGTGAATGATTCCAGCAGCTCAATGTGGTCTCCCTCCTGTGCTGTATGAGGAAGATCTGGCAGTTTGACTGGAAGGATCTTACTATGTAAATTATGGCCCCAGACCTACTGCTTATTTCACTTACCTGAAGTTAAGCCCATAGAAATCTGTATTGTTGACTTGGGAATAACATACACTTTAGAGTCAAAATAAGGAATAATTTCTCATCATTGACTTACATTTTGTATTTATTAATGACTAAATCAATTGCAACATGCCTGTCTCTTCATGTTTAGGGCCTTCCGATGACTGGGATAGGGGATGTTTCACCAGTCCGTATCCAGATTCATCGTTTCTTGGTTTAGTTGCTATTTTATAAGAACAACAGATCTCATGACCTATTTAGATGATATATGACATGTTCTGGATACCTTTAATCACAGAAGTAGTGATACTATGGTTGCAAGTCTCTATCCATAGCATCTTTCCATTAGTCCACTCTCAAAAGCAATTGCTTATGAAGCAAATGACCTGTAAGAATTTGCTTTCCCAACTCTCCCCATAGGTGACAGGCTAATCGAAAGAAAATGCTCATAAATTAAGTCTAGATTGTTTTATATTCGGTTTAAAGACACAAGCAGTAAGGAAGAAGAAGAGCCTTTTATAGATTGACACATCAGATATTATTAAGCAAAAATGTCCTGATGATTTTGACAACAGAATAGCAGTCATATCTTTCAACACATTGTGGGAGCTCCACAAGTAATCACAGGAGGGTGGGAAACAGTATATGTGAAGATATTTTGCCAGATGGCTCACAGAGCTGGACACAGTCATTTATGAAAAGCTTCACTTTGGTTCCTGACAGAGCACGTATCTCCTAGGGCTAGTTTAGACTCGATTCCCTTGCTAAATGCAAGTTGTAACCAGACATAATTGTTTTCTGCTTTTCTCTAAAATATGAGGGTCCAGTTTCGCAGATGAAGCCTAAATTACGTGATGATTTTAAAGTATTGTAGTGATCAGACCGGAATATAGCAGAACCAAGTACTTACGGTATAATATGGAGCAAACAAAAAACAGAATACTTTTGGAGGGAGGTGGGCATGGACCTACTGAAGAGTAGGGAGTGAGGGTTGTCTCCACAGCAACATAAACATGAACATTTGTGCGTATTTCTTCCATTGCCAAGGGACTATAGACATTATCCTCAATTACCCTGCTTGCTCATTAGGAGCATAGTACTGGTAGAGGCCTCCTGGGTGAGTCACGTCCCCACTGCTGCATTCCTACATGACATTACCCCCTCCATGAGCTGAGCAAGCTCCATCCTACAATTAGCTATTTTGTTTGCCCCAGTATTCTACCTGGAAATCTGTCTCAAAAATTCACTTCTTGGAAACCTTCTTTTAATCTTCAGCCTAAATTTAATTCTGAACTGTTTATTCTTGTGCCAACACAATCCTTTACCTAAGCAGCCTTTCTCCTTTCCTGGTGTTCCTTGTGGGTATGCATAGGGAACAGTTGCATCTCTTCTCAGACTTTATTTTATTTGGATTGTTACAAAAACAGTCCAGTCTTTCTGTTTGCTTTTGTAGTTCTTGACCGTGGGTGATCAGACTTGAACACAGCATTCCTTGAGAAATCCCATTTCTTCTGCAGGAATGAGTCAGGTGCTGTACCTGAGCCTTACCTCACCTCACCACATTTCCCTTCCATGCAGATGTCAGCAGTTCATTGTGGATCATCCTGAAGTCTGTTTACACAGATGTTTCCAGCTCAGGAGCACTTACTTCCTACTGGAAGATACAGTTTTGAGATACGGTGTTTTGTTTTAGTATATTTAACCCTGTATCAAGCTCAGTTCCTACTCTATGGTGTAATAATCTCTTAGCCAGGACTTGTAACGTTCTGATGCAGAAACTAGCCTTTATACACATAGTTAGAGGGGTTTTGTGTGTTGAGTCGCCTTATTGTTTAACCTCGTGCATTGTGTATGAGCAGCTGAATTGCCATTTTCCTGCTGTCATTCTGGCATACCCGCTTTCTTGAATGAAATTGAGCCAGCAGCTTTCATCTGCATAACAACTGTTTTTCTTCTGCTGCATCAGTTACATACTCCAGACCTCTTGATTCCTCCCAGTTTTCAGTTCCTTCAAACACACAGAAAAGTGAAGTGGTGCTCTCACTGCATTATTTGAAGAAGTCTGGATGAACATTCTCTTCTTGCTCCTTTTGTGATATGTGGAGTTTGCCTTTTTCCTGGGAAAATGTGTTTCCAGGGACTTCTACAAGAGGAAGACCTCTTGTTCTGTGTCATTCATGCACAGTTTTGTAAAAATCAGATTCTGAGCCAATGTTACTTGGTTTAAACTGATGCAGGGGAGTGAGGTAAAGGTGCCTTGATGGCCCAGAGATCCACAGGTAAGGGAAAAATAAGGTACTCTGTTGACCAATTGAAAACCTTGTAAGTGACAACACATCGTTGGTTTTGGGTTTGGTTTTTGTTTTGTTTTGTTGGTTTTTTTTTCCATTCCTCTACCTTTCACTCAGTTTATGATTTTATGAATAAGGTTTATACTGAAAGACAGAGACCGGTGTGTTCTGAAAAAGGTCATTTCTGTTTACTGAAAATAACTTTTAACTCCTAATGTTAAGGAAAACCTGGTATAAGCTGGGTTATTGAAAGTGTTTATAACTATTTTCTCTTTCTGTCATTAAGATGTGCTCATGTCTGTGTCAGTAGCTAGATTCTATTACTGTAGTAATTAACATATCTATCACCCAGACTGCTTCGCATACTGTTGATTTTAATTACTTTAGTCCCTACAATTACATACTCCAGTGGAATTACAGTTGAAATATATTACACGGGAGCCTCCAACAAGATCTTTACATCTCATACTTGAAGTACATGTACATAAAAAGACAATAGAGGGGATTTAACAGGTAGCATTTTCAAAGTGCCTCAGTCATTCTGGCAACATTTTCTGTGTAACAGAACAACCTTCTACTTGGTTGATAATGAGTGAAGGATGGTGACTGGAGAGATAAGACTTGCTTGTCCTCTTTAACTGCTTTTTGGAGCCCTGTCTTGCAAGGCACAATAAATCGTTCAGTAAATCATAAGTTTCTCTTAACTCTAAAATTACCAACCTCCGTGGTAATTTTGTCTTTCTAATCAACTTTATTGACAAAGTAGGGGATAGATAGATTCTTAGAACGATAGTCAGATTAGCTGCTCTTCATTTTCACATGGGTCCACTCCAGTGCCTTGTGTTTACTACGCTATGTATTTGCAGTTTAATATAGGAAGCTATAATATTATCTCAGGGCCTAATGCTTCCTATCACTGACTGTTTCATTGGCATTTATTTACAGTACTGGACAGGCAGTGTGCAGAAGTGTTTGCAGAATCCAGGCTTTAGTGGGGGTTGTTCTTTTTTAAAAAAAAATCATTTAGCTGTAACCTTTAACTTTTTAATGCTGGAATACTTTAGTCACTAGATAATATGTGTCTGCTGGGTAGATTACTGGTGTGGAAGTCAATTCTTCTCTGTAGCAGTGGGAACACATCTATAACTCAAATCTGTTAAGCAGCATTTCTCTTTACCTTTTGGATGCTTTGTGCCAATCTGCTGGTAGAGAACAGGTATAAATGAAGTTGAACTAATGGGTTAAGACAGGTTTATGACTCTATTGTGTCTGTGGCACAGCATAAAATGTCTGTCTGGTGAATATTTTGGTCCAGGATTTCCTTACGAGACAAAGGACCTTATTTTACTGTTGATCTTTAATTGCCATAAATCTAGTGGTTGTTTGCTTACAGGTCAAATCTGTTATTCCTTAAATAGCTGTCTTAACTTGCATAGCTGCCACATATTCATTTTAGACAATTACTTCTGAGTGAAAACAAGAGGAGTGAATAAGATAGCCCTCAGCTATTACTTAGAAGTTGTGTGAACTATGGAAAAATTCATGTATCCCAAGTTACCGATACATTTATGTATGAAGTAATGAATTCTTTCATTATGTCTCTGTCATGTCACTCTTTGAATTAGTTCTCTAATGAACCCAGTTGCTGCTTAAATAGCAGTTCCAGGTTTTAAAGCCTGTATATTGGGTGGAAATTTAAAAATCCTTGTGACATGGGAGTACAAGTCCCAAGATTAGAACATATTCTGAATTCACTTAATAATTTTGCACATGCATACTTTGAAGTATCAAACGCTTTTCTTTCTTCCAATTTCTAAATCTTCAGATGTTTACTTTTTTTCTTTCTTTTCAACAGATATAAGCTTACCAAAATCAGCAACAATATGTTACACAGCTGCATTGCTCAAAGCCAGAGCTGTCTCTGACAAGTAAGTGCATAGGAACTAATGTCCAACAAAATTCCTGATTTAACTCGGGTTTTCTCTTAGCTGAGCCCACACCCTAACAATCTGCTGGGTTAGCAGGAGAATTCAGTCCTGCTGTAAAATCGTAAAATTACTTTATATATAAGAAAAATTTGAAGTGATCAAACATTGCACTTCAAATATTACAGAAGAAAAGAAGAGAAAGAGCATAAATTCAATTCTTGTTTCAGTTTCATGTATACTGTCTGGGTGAGCTTTGGCTTCCTAGATAGTATAATGATGATGCAACTAAAAGGTGGTGTGTGGCTGAACCTCTTCAACTTTGCATAAACCTGACCACAAAAAGGTAATAAATAGATGTGGATGCACTGTTAGCAATGTCATTTTATAAGTACTGTCAGAAGACTGCTCATCTACTTAAATAGTGGCAGGTGGATTTAGCGTTACTATGTCAGGGCTTCTGAGAGGTAGATGATGTTCAGATTTTTAGAGACACGAGTATCTGCTCATTCCTGTTACGGTTTTCTCTTGGGTCTCAACCTTTCAAGGTGCTGAGCACATCTACTTGATGCCTGTGGACTTGAGAGCACTGGCCTGCTCTGAAAGAGTGCTCAACTCCTTGTGAGATAGAGCTCAAAAGATCCCAATTCTGCTCTCAGATGCCTTCACACAAATCCCAGGCAGAGTTGTGTCTGTGCATCTGAGGGTCGAATGCCTCCCTAAAGTTGGAAAGCAAGTAGAGTGGAAAGCCATTTTCTTGACTGACATCCTGACAGTTTTTGCTTTTGAAGTGTATGTACACAACAAGATCTAAGTAATTTTTCTTTCATTCTTTTTATCCTGTAGATCGCCAGTACCTACTGCAACATCTTTCCTCCCTACACAGCGACTCCAGCTTGGGAGGGCAGGGCTAAGGTTGTCACAGCTTTCCCTGTGGTGTCTGCCTGCCAAGTACAGCTCTGGAGTTAGCCGTGGGGTGTGAGGTGAGAAAGAGATTGCATGGTCTGGTTTTTCATTCACTGGGGCAGATGATTTGCCCACAGTTTGGGCATGCTACCCTCAATGGTGCTGCGGCCAGTAGACCACCCGCTACTGCTGCTGCATCGTGCTTCCATCCCAACCTGACCCAGGGGCATTGGGTTGGGAACCTCCCTAAAACCTTCCCGAACCTGTTTTTCATAGAAACCCTCCAACAATAATTTGGCATTGTTTTTTTATTTTTGCTTTTCTTTTTTCTGCGACTTCAGCCTTGAATATGCCCCTTAGCAAGGTACCTAGACCAAATTTAGATTAGTGACAGAGAAAGGACTGTTTGAACTGACTTTCTGGTATAATTAGATGAAAACATGCTTTCCACTTCTGCTGGGATTTTCGTTGGCCTTGATATAATAGATCATTCAGTGTTTCCACTTGCTATGGAAGTTTGGAGAACATAGGAAGTTGACTCAGTTTGGGCCCATGTTCTAGATTCCTTTTCTGGCTTTTTCTTACTAGCGTTTCTGACCTGCTGTGTTTGTTTCTTTGCTTTTGCAGATTTTCTCCAGAGGCTGCCTCAAGGCGAGGGTTGAGTACTGCAGAGATGAATGCAGTAGAAGCTATTCACAGAGCAGTAGAATTTAATCCACATGTGCCAAAAGTGAGTATGGAGAAAGCGTTATTGTAGCTTTAAGACTGCTGAGGACCTAACTCCTGATTTCTCTGTTAGATTAATGAGTGATGTTGTGGAAAGGGGAGCAAACAATGGGAAGGGAAAGAAGCTGATAGTATGCACAGGTATTTTTTTGTTTGGTATTTCATATTCAGTGCCTTCTACTCTGGAATGTACAGCTTGAAATCTTAGCTGGAGTACTCTGTATAAGCGACACCTACATGGTGGACTGCAGTAGTAGACACCACCAAATGCTATGCTGCACGACAGAGCCATACGTAACGACAGATTATTGTTAACCTGTTTGGAGTTCATGGTGTGCTTCATATAAGTTGCATTAGTAACTCCTTATGCAGCACCCCGTCATTAAGTTAAAGCTCAGAGATGAAGAATTGCTGAGAACTACAAAGTAAAAGAAGGGATTTATGTTCTAATTCCCTAATCCCCTCTCTAGATGCATATCTCAGCAGTAACAATCTTGCCCATGGGCTACGAAAGGCTAATGTATTTTATTATTTCATCACCTGATACTCAGTATTGCAGTCAGTAAGTTCACGGAAAAGGCAAACTAGAGGCAGATGCTTTTTGGCCTTTGGAGATCTGCCTCTGAACCTCACCCCACAAACCTTTGGACCAGTATTCCACTTTGAAAGTGCACAGCCCCCACTGGAGAGCGGAAGATTGGTGTATGTTAATGTGGAGCGCCTATTCATTAGGTACAGCTGAACACCAAGTCTGGTCAAGATAAACCCAAAACCTCTCCCATATGTACACACGGCTTGCAGAAAGTTCATTCCCTTGCATTGCAGGAATTAAATATTTTCTCTGTGAGCTGTATCTGTTATGCCAACCACTAAATAGCATGGTTTAGCTATCTGAAAGTTAGGCTGTTTGTTTAATAAAATCATCTAGACTTCCTCTACAGGCAGTGGAAAGAAGGAACTATCTTAGACATCTCTAGACAGACTTTCCCTCCGAGGTGCCTGTTTCTACATTGACTATGAAAGGAGCAACTATTTTCCAGTAAAAGCCTGGTTTTTAGACAACAGGATTTAGGTGAGATAAGTCCCTTTGTATTATTAGCTGATCTACTTTTGTGCCAAGCTATAAAATGAAAATATTAAATGAAGTTTAGTTCCAGGACTGCTTCTGTGGAGTTCTGTTTACTTTCTTCCATCCCAGTGGTTCTTGCACCAACACAACCATTCATATTTCTCTTTTGCCTGGTTGCCTGTTTACCTCTCTATTGCAGTCCTGTTCTGGATGAACCTTTCTGAATGTTTTACTGGAGCCCTGTTAGAGTATTCTGTCCTTGCTGTCTACAAAATTAGATATCTTGCTGAACAAAGATACCAGTTTAGGCTGTCATGAGCTCTCCTTGGGAGCCTGTTCCGTTTTCCTGACTTACTGCCATGCTCTTGATAAATCTTTCCATCAAAATCTTCTTTAACACTTCGCATACTAGTGATGCCAGATTAACACATACTGTTTCCCTGCTCTTTAAATGAGCAACATTGCATTTCCTTTTTCCATCACTGGATCACTTGATTCTGAACGGGGATTTTTTGGTTTAAGTCAGTTATGCAAGTCTGGCTGTTTGTAGGGCTGGTTCATTCAATGTTCAGGGACAGAGATCATTGGCTGCATTGGCCTCCCCTTATGTACACGCTCCTGCTGCACACCCTGATTGATATTGTCTCCATTCTCTTCACTGCCTTGAAACTGAGGCTGTCTTAATTTACTACCTTTTTGCTTATTCTTATTCTGTTTATACTTGAAAGCTTGCTCTTCCTTGGTTTGACTTCCTTTGCAAAATCTACCTTGCTGTAAGTTGTGGCAGTTGCTCCATAACCTCTGTACTTCCAGACCTCCAAGATCCTGCTTTTCTTGTAGATCAGCACTTTCATTCATCACTTGTGACCCCTCTTCACCAGCCTGCTTCTGTTTCGGTGGCTGTTCAATGCAAGGCTGAATCTCCTTTCTGACCAGTGTCCCTATGGGTGAAATGCAGATTGTGTGTTATTTTCGGTACTTCTGATTTAAAGAAATTTCAGTCCTCTTCCCCTGTTAAGTTGCTGAGCTTTTCAGTCAGTTCACATTGTTAACTGATTCCCTCAGTTTTTCACAGTCTGTCACTTTGAAATGGAAAGCCCTTGTGAAATGTATAAATTATATCAGGATGATGAGCTATAACAAGACCAGACTCTAGGGTTTTTTAGTTCATATTTTAACTTTAAAACAGTGTATCCTAATATAAATTAATATGCAGCACTGCTGATTTCACAGTAATTGTTTCTGCTATAAGCTAAAGGATATTAAGGTGGCAAAAATATATTTTTGGTGGTACACAGTATGGATATTGCACCTCAGTTTCCACTCAATTATGATTGAAGTCATATCCAATTTGTTCTTAATGAAATGGAGATAAGTTTTAGGAAGCAGCATTACAAGAAATCTAACACTGCCGCAAAACTAATACATCTTCAAAGCTTCTTTAGGATTTAAACACTAATGAGTCTCTTGTTCAGACTGAGGAAGAAATAAATTGCAAAGGTGACAAAATTTAAAGCATTTACAATGTTCCCAGCAGAAGCCTTGAAAGCAGGGAACTGCACTGTTAAAGAGGAAAAAAAATCGTTCAGTGTGTTTCTAGTTTGTCTCAAAAGGAAATTTTACCATTTTCAGTGCAAATTATTAAAATTTAGAATTATTCCATAAACATATTATTTCTGTATGTGCATTTACAAAACATCTATCTGGAAATAGCAGATTTTTGCTAATGAGATTCGAAGGCAAAGAGAATGCAAGAAACACACTCTGAATACACTGAGATGCTGCTGAGCTGGATTTAGCAAGAAAGGGAGACTGAAGTCTCCTGCTGTGACCTACTGCAGGTTTGTGTAAAACAACCATGGGATCCTTACAGTGCTCTTGATTTTTCCCTAGGCGATTATGACCAGATTGCAGTCCAGTGTTCCGTAGGGATATTACAGAGGTCACGTATACGTTTTACACTTTCTTCTGCATGTAATCCAAAGATGTAGGAATGCCTTAGGAAGGAGCACTTTAAAAGTCTCAGATTTCCACCTTTACACAGAAGTTGAGAAATCCTGCAAAAACACCTTGCTTCCACATAGAAACCAGTGTGCATGCCTGTTTCTGGGAGTCTTCTCAGTATGTATGTCATGGAGATGTTGGCACCCACTCATTGATTCTAGATGACCATGCATCACCTTGGTTTTTATTTTCTGTCTGCACAAAAATGCTTTTTACAGAGACCTGGCTGATGGTCTTTCTTCAGGCACCCACCCTTCCAGCAAATAACCTTCTTCTGTTTTTTAGTACATTTCAATGACAGTTTAATTCCCAGAGATCAGTCTGTCAAGTCTCAGCCATAGGAGATAAATTCTCATTGTTTTTGGAATACACTGGAGCCAAGATGTGACACGTGGAGATACCAGAATTTTGTTTAAGTGGACAAGGGCAACACAGAGCTCAGTGCAGCCTGCCAGATGTCTCCAGGCAGCTGGGCAGCAGATATGGCCATGCTTTTTCTGAAGCTGAGCTGTGCAGGTGAAGGCTAGCTCAGGTGTGTCAATGGTGATCTCCTTCTTGACCGCAGTTAAAATGGAACCACTGTCAGACTGATCAAAACTTCTCATTCTGAAGACATCTTACCTGGAGAAAGGATTCTGTGCTTGGAAGAGGCTTAATTTTTTAAGCTGTCCAGAAAAATACCTGATAAATGATACTATGTCTGTCTACAGTTTGTCTTGTTTGTGTTACTGAAACAAATCTGCTACAGCGAATTACAGTCTTATACTTTGGCAGAGATTGCCTATGTAAAAAGAAAGCACTTCACCGGGCAGAACTCAGGGTTCTTTTTAGTAGAAGAAACAGATTGAAGTCAGCAGTACAGCAGGAAAGAGAACAAAGCAAAAAGCTGTGATTTTCACCATGAGTCAAATCACAACAGATTGTACTGATTCATTCAAAACCCGCCTGGACGCCTTCCTGTGCAACCTCATCTAGGTGTTCCTGCTCCGGCACGGGGATTGGACTAGATGATCTCTTGAGGTCCCTTCCAATCCCTAACGTTCTGTGATCCTGTGATTCTGTGATTGATTGTGAAGATTTGTCTGATTTCTTTTCAGCCATTCTATGGACTGGCTTCCTCTTGTTTTAGTGTAGCACCATGCACTGTGGAGATTTGGTCCCAAGGAAATGTGCTGATGCTGTCTGACAAAGTGCTGCTCAAAAATTCCAGAGGGTTTTGTATGGAAAAGAGAGTAGTACATCCTATGTCATGGAGAGTACATAATTTGTGGAGTGGGTGGGAAAAAAGTATATGTGTATGCACACACACACGTACACACACACGAGATTTTATTAATATTATTTACATGTTGTGTTTGGAGCTTCCCCACTTATATGTAATGCAGCTTTCCCAAGCTAATGCTGATAAAGTGCCCCAGCTGTCTCTGGGACATTCCTCAGTTGTGGAACACCCTTTCTGAACCGATTTGCAAGGCTCCCTCCCTGCATTCAAAGTTCCCCTGAAAAGTGTGTTGCCCCTTTCCCTGTGATCTGTGAGGCATGAGCTATTCAGTAAAGTCAAAGGGAAGAGAAAACAGATGATGGTCCTGATATCTACTTGTTCATAAGCCAGAAGTGTGCTCTGTACACAGTTGTATGGGTTTGCTATGTGAGCCAGGAGCTGAGTTGGTTTAAAGAGAGTATCTACTGAAGTTTGCTGCATTTGAATTGGATAATTTAAATATTGATGTGACTTTGAGAAAAGCCAATTTTGTGTGTAAACAGTTTCTTAACAGGTTGTAACAAACCATTGACTTAAACACTTTTAACAATTTATCTGTTCTCTGTTTCATCCCTCCTTATTTCTTTTTTTTACTTATTTTTTTAAATAAGAACTGTCTATATAATTTGTGGTTTCTAGTAAGTTGTAGTTGCTAATAGAAACAAATAAT